GTTGCAGTTGCAGTTGTAGTTGTAGTAGTTGTTGTTGTGGCAGTAGCAGCAGTAGTCGCTGCTGTGGGCCTGAGCCCTGGACCGGAATCCTCGTGTCCGGGACTTCTTTCTGATAATCTGGCTGAGGTCTGAAATCTTGACGTACAAGCAGCCATATGCATATGCATATATATATATATAACAAATGTATGTACTTGTATATATGTATTGTATAAGTTGTGTGAGTATATACATGCATATATATATATATATGTATATGTAATTGTATATGTATATATATATATATGTGCATGCAAACTGAATATGTACGTATGTCTGTATGTATATATATATATACATACGTCTACACATCAGAAAGATTTGTGAGTAGTAATTATAGTCAAGTCCGGTATCAAAGCCCCCGAAGCCCACTGCAATAATTTCGGCTTCTATACGCCAGGAAGTCTAAGGCTGGAGTCCGAGAGTTTGCAACCTTCAGAGATCCAGGCTTTCTCGCTTTTTGGGTGGGGAGACACCCCCCCCCTCCCGGTGGTGATGTCGAAGAAGACGGTTTAAAGGTTTGTCCTACGTAGAACCTGGAGCCCTAAAACCGGCTATGCCTGAACCCGCAAACGTGGCACACCCTGTAACCCGAAGCCCTGATCTGTGACATCTTGCTAGTTTCGTGCGAGCGAGAGTCGAAATTTATACCCGAAGCCTTCAACGGCAACCTCTCAAGACCCTTTTGTAGACCCTGCACCCTGAACTTAAGAAACCCCTGAGAATCAGAAGTATGAAGGGCCTTTATAGCTCAGGTTGCAGACTTGAGCCTGACTTCGGAGGTCCGCAGGCACGGAGTAAACAATGTAGCCATTGCAACATAGCGCCTCAGTCATAGTTTCGGTTGGCGGATTTACGGTTGAGGGCGTAGGAAGTATTCTATTTATTCAGGTTCCGAAGATGCCAACAAGCTGAGAACAACCTGCACTTGCTCTTGAGAGGACTGCGTTATGGGTTCTCGGAGTTGTGATTAGGAGCGACAGCAGTCCCGAATATAATTCTCATAAATCGCAAGCGCCTAACTCTGTTCTAGTTTCTAGTTATGACCGCAGCTGCTATGTTGAGCGCATCATGTAGAACAAAAGATCGGGGGTGCCCTTCGGCCGATGGCTTGCAGTGCCGACGGTGGGCGGGAAGTTGGTGGATCGAAGATTCCTAGTTCAAGGTGGTGTCAGTAGAGGCTGAGGGTCCCTATTTCCAAGAGTGCTCGTTGAGAGATAAAGGGCGTTTCAGCAGTTGATCTGCCTATGTGATACACACCTATCTACGTAGATTGGCATAAAGCTGTATGTTTTGCATGTTGTATTGCCTTTATTCAATGTGCATGGCCTTGTTATGTCATGCATGAGTTTCGTAAGCCTTGATTCTTCCGAGTGCACTGTGCTTCCGGACCAGCCGTCTCGAAGAGGCTTGGTGAGGAGGTTTCGAAGCAGTTCCCGGCAACCCGACTCGCAAGACTAAGTGTTGTGTTCCACATCCTGAGACACTGCCCGTGATGAGCCTGGTTTAACCCTATACGAATAAGTCATAAGTATGCCGCTTTGTGGTTTGACCGTGCGAGCTGGCTGCTAGCCACTCCGCAGATGAGTTGCCGCTGGTCCGAATCCCGAAACCTGCTTGCTCAGGTAATCCACGGCCTGCTCAACAACGCAGGCAGAGCGTGCTGACTTCGGAATATTGCAGATGGTGCCGCGCTTTTGACAGTCCTTTGCTCATTGGAAGAGAAACTAAGCATTGACGAGCCAAGCCATGGCTGTTCTGAGTCGCGAAGGTACTTTTGCGGGAGACTACACCGGCACGCGCAAGGTCACGGCTGAGGGTAACGAGTATTCGCCGGGGACCCCGGTTCTCCGACTCAGTGCACGTGGCCCCTTAGGGAAATCCGCGGACGCCATGAGCCAGGCTTGCTGTGAACGTCCTTGCCCCCTTCTTGCTCACCTCCCTGCTGCTGGAAAACGTCCGGGCATCAGGGGCAGGCCTTGGTCTGCAGCTTCCGAACAGCGCCGCTGTGTTTCGCAGTTTGTGCCCAAACCATAGTTTACAGATGAGGCCAGCTAGCTGTGTGGATCGTCTCTCGATCGAACCAAAGTCTGGTACCCTACACAGAAGCTGATGCTTCTTTGCTTCACAACTAAGTAGCAGAAGGAGCTTCAGAGCAGACCGCTTTCTCGTGTCCGGGCTGTGCTTTGCAATACCTACATGTGGGTTTGATGAACTGGTCATTGGATTTCGTATCCTAGAGAACAGTCGAGACGCTGATGTTTTGGCACAAGAACCTTTTCTTCCTTAGCACTGCAATATATGTTCGCTGACGAGCCATCTCTTCTGCACTAGCTTCAATCTCCTGAGAGATGTTTGACTGAAGATCTTCAGTTGTGCATGATGGGGCAGAGGGGTATGGCACATGTCAAGATGCACCACAGACCCTAAGCTGAACATCATGTTTCAGCTTGGGCAAATTAGCAGGTTTTGTCCTTAGGGTTGCTTTACATACCAGACGCTGCCCAAATCATAGTCCAATCATTCAGGCCGCCATATTATCATAGTATCACTGCCCCTATTGCCCCTAAGCCCGAAAGAACTAGGCTAACATGGCTGAGCCGCTCGAGCCCTGCATCCTAAAACCGCGAGTCGAAACCCTTAACCCTACCCTAAACCCTAAACCCTTAACCCTTAACCCTTAACCCTTAACCCTTAACCCTTAACCCTACCCTGAACCCTAAACCCTAAACCCTAAACCCTTAACCCTACCCTAAACCCTAAACCTTAAACCCTAAACCCTAAACTGCTGTTGGTCAGGCCGGGTCCTCATTACGTCCTCGATTTCCGCTGGCTCTCGGGATGTCGTCCCCTCATGACCAGAGGTTTAGGAGCTGAGGGTGTTACCCCCAAGTGTTCTTCCTGTTTGAAGGCTATAGACCGAACCGTTTTCGTGTAGTTTTCAGTGGAGGATGTTCGTTTAGGGGCTGTTGTTTGATTTCCCTTTCATGGGGGCTGGTCTTAGAGTCTGATGTGCGGGTTATAGGGTTGACAGCTTTCAGTGCATGTAGAACTCCCAGAAGCACAATCTTTCGCTAGAGTCCCGACTGCAGGAGCTATGGAGCTTTGGGTTTACCAGGCTAGGGTTTAGAAGCGGTGGGTCTCTCTCGCTTTGTACCAGCACCGGCACATGCTCGGCCTGTCACAGTCAAAAGCCAGTAAACGAGACTAATCCGTCCGAATGTGTGCGCTGTTTCCCAGATGTGCTGCAAGGATGCCCCCCGCAAAACCTTGCCTAAGCTCGAGCTTAAAGCCAGAGAATCTTGTCTTTGAGACGAATCTGACTGCCAAGCTGTGAGTGTTGAACTGCTGCAGCTCGCATGAAAGCCGTCGCTGGAGCATATAGAAGGGTAACATAACATAAGGTCTTCCCGAGTCTTCCGCACTCGCACCCGGCAGCATACCGTAAAGGCCGCTCGCACCCAGGAGGCTCCTCGCCAACAGCAGTGCGAGCTGAACCCCTAAATCAGAAAAAAACGTTAAAACCCATGTAGACGACAGTTACCCCAAGCCGCTTGCCCTGATGCACGGCTTCTCCGCATATCCTTGGCTGTGTACTGTTCTTTCCATATGCTTTCCCTGGATAGTCTCGGACAAGCCAACCACTTATCTGTATCACGCCGACCTGCGACTATGGATCCTCGCCTGGCTTGTCCGAGTTGCGAGAGCGTAAACCCTAAACACCTGTCACCAAGGCTATGCAATCCTGCGGCGTAGACCTTGTTACGGTCTCCAAAGTTAAGATTCACCGAGAATTCTTAGGCGGGGATGTCGTTGGGTTTGTTGGGCGGAAACGGATGCATCGGCCCGAACTTTTATGGGCTCTATTTCTCACGGACCAGTCTAGATACGTCTTAAATGGTTCCAGGCAAGCGAATGCCCACTGGGTCCCTAACTTCAGCACCCTTTTCCCGTGAGTTTTCTACAGTGGCAGTTGCATGCGATGCTCAGCTTTGTTCAGTAACAGCTCTGACGTTCGCGAGGCGGAAGAGCGAGTGTTGGTAAAAACCAATGAGACTAAACCATTTAGCCAGTTTCCCTGCAGTGCGACTTGGTCAGCGAAGCGGGTGGGAAAAACCCTTAAACCCTAAACCCCATCTGGCAAGGAAGCTAGTGTACTGTGTCACGCCGACCTGCTACCATGGAGCCTCGCCTGGCATGTCCGAGTTGTGAGAGCGTCAACCCAATATGGCGAGTAGCCCAAAACTCCCAAGGCCCTGTCCGACTTGCAATGCGAGAAGCACTGGTCAGACCCTCAGCTCCCGCTTGATGATGATACAATATATAGTAGCGATAGCATAAATGATACTGTTTGTAATGATCATCATAATAGTAATCATTCAATAGTAACACTAACAATATGTTTCTTGCGATCTACATCAGGGCCCTGACCCTGAAGCCATACGCGTTCTGAGACAGTTCGCCTTGAAGCTGTGCCTGGCTTGTGCGAGTGCCAGTCGATCTATCAACCAATCAACCCATCCATTACTCACCAAATCAGTCCGTGTGTATTATATGCATACGTACATGCATTACGTACATTACATACAAACAAATCCGTGCTAGGCCCTGGAAACAGAACCTGCTAGGTCTGACCACCGAGCCTACGAGCTAAGCAAGCTTTGTGCCGCTTGGCTTGGGGTCTCACAGAAAGTAGGATTCAGGGCTGCACAAGGTTTAACAGCGTTTTTGAGGCGTTTAACAAGATTTGACGCGGGTCCTCTTAAAGTCTTTAGGGTCGTTAAAGGCGAAAAAGGCTCTTAAAAGGCTTATATAATTTCAGGCTTTAGGGGTTGAGGGTGCAGGCCGTGTCGATAAGAAAGTTTAGGGGTTTGGGTGTTACTATTTCGACTGTTTCATGGATTTGGCTTGATTAAGGGCGGCCTCTAAACCCTGGGCCCAAACCCAGAGAGCCTTGAAGCCCCAGCAAGTGAGCTCTTGGCCTGTTAGTTAGTATTTGGGATCGGCCATGAGGTCTCGAGGGTTGCGTAAGGGATCTACAAGAGTTTATATTTTACAAGATAACGGTTGAAGGTCACAAACGAAGGGGGTGCTCGCGCATTTACGAGAGTTGTGCGTGTAAGTTGATCTGCACCAATCGGACGGTTAGACTGTTAGACATGTTTACGCGTCTCGAGACCACCTGCATCACAATAGTCTAAGGTTTGCATGCTTGAAGATGCAAAATCCTAGTTCGATGCCTGTTAGCTTAGTTATAATTTATGCCCTCTAGGTGGATGTCTACTTAGGCCTAGGCTCCTTCGGTTTATGATGTCTATTGCTCATTTTACTTGCTTTCATGGCTGTGTTGGGGCATTTGGACAATGGCCTAGCAGGATTCGTGCGGAATCACAGGGGACCACAGTTTTACCTGGGACACCCCGTCTTCATCAACCTTGACGGGGTTCCCCAAGTCTGTCACGTCATGCGCCGCTATGCTGTGATCCTCCGTAGCTGCAAATCCTAGTCCTGAACTGGACAGCTTCCGTCGTACAGGATTTCGGACTTATGGATTGCCTGGATTGCCCAAATGCGAGAGCTGAAATCCTAAACCCAGGGTGCGAAGCGGGTGGGCAAAAGCCCAGGATGCCATGATCACCATGGAGCTCCATGCGCGCTACGGGGATCCGCCAAGGCGAGTGTTATTTTTTCGAAGCTGCTGCCGGACTTCGGTGGATGAAAGGTGGACTTAAGGTTCTAGATTGCGTTACGTCCCGGCATGGCCATGATTGCCAGATGAGCCAGGGGCTAACTCGCAAAGTTTCTTACGAAAGCCTCACCGGGTGCACCTGTACCTGCAGTACGCGAAGCAGACAATTTGACGAGGAATGCAAGTGCCTTTGCTTTTTCATCTGCTAGTACTGTTCTTCTCGGGGTGCAACGCTGCAAGGAGGCCGCCCCTACATCCCAGGCCCCAAAAACCATGGCCAGGCTCAGCTTTCACACCATGGATCCCGGCACGGTGGTCGCTTGGATCATAAAACTAAATGTCGCCGCTGCGTGCATGAGGCTCGCTTTGTCACACGAGGTCGTAACGGTTCTACTTATTTGCCGTCGTAGTAGCAGCAGCACAAAAAAAGCCGCCATGATTAAGGCTACACCACCACCTCAGTAGTCCTCATCCTGACCACACAAGGTTTTCAGATTCGTGGGAACTGTCAACTGTGGGGTCCCGGTCAAAAGCAGCGCATGTCAAGGGATGTATGGATCCCACAATCCTACCAGATACTACGATTTTGTGGGTGCTACGGGATGATCAAGGTTTGGGTTTGGCATGAGGAAGGAATCGTCCAACCCTACAACGCGCCCATAAAATCCAGACCCGCCGGAAATTTCCGAGCTAAGACTTGAGGACACGAAGATGCTGAGAGCAGGATGGGGCTTCGGTGGTGCATCTGTGCCCCGGAGCATTCTTCTGGTACATAATAGTGTTCAGTTCGGACATGTTGGAGCTGCGCACTATGATTGGGATCAGCATGTGATGTGGTGTGCGATGTGTACACATCGATCCCCGTGATATTCTTCCTCTGCATGTGGGGGTCTGAGAATTGAGAAGGGTAGTAATAGTGTATCGATGCTTTGGATTGTTTTTCCCATATGCTTGCCACTATGCCAGCATGACCCTTCAGCCACTGCACTGCGAGAGAAATCGCCAGGTGCGGTCGGCAACCACATCCTTTGAGATGCTCACACAGGACTTCGAACTTCCGCAGGTAGGGATGTGGTCGCAAAGAGGGAGGAGATCCGAAGATTGGTGAAGTAAATCAGTATGGAAGGCGCTGTTTTTGAGAAGCATATTGCCATTCAGGACCGCTTCCAAACGACCTCCGGCGAAGGGAACGGATATTGCTGTGGCGAGAAGGCCCTTGCTCGTGCAGCTGGATTTGGGCGAATCCGGGTTCGGGCAGTTTGCTCGTAAGCGAAAGGAGATTGAACATTGTGACGCTGCACCACACATATGGATGATTCGGGCTATTTAGTAGTCAGAAAGATCAGCTTCAGAACCAGTCTATAGCCGCTGTACGGCTCGACAGACGTCACGGCTGTTTGAAGCAAGCTCTGAGGCTCTGTAAGGATTAGCCGGCGAAAAATCTGAAGCTACTGCAAGGTTTTGGGATTTGTCGTCCCCGGAAGCAAGGAACCATATGGAAATTGACCGCAGGGCATAGTTCTTTGTTGCGAAACGAGTGCTGCCCCAAGCCGCGCAGGTTACAAACAGATCTGCCATCATGTCTACTCGTATTCCTTATGTTGGCTTCAGTGCCATACGACAATGCGTCTTGTGACTATCACACTGGTATGTGCTATCATTGTGTTCGCCTTCAAGCCTGACGCACCCGAAAGCCATAAGTTCAATACTCACAGCAGAGTCGCCTCTCTTCTGCCGGGCGGTTTCAATTTCTGGTTTCGCGAAGGGGATGCCAGTCGTCAGAGTTAGAGTTGTGAAGACTGAGACTGGTCCGTAAAGCTTGCCGTAAAAGTCGCGGCCCCTTTCCAGGCCGGGCATGTTGCAAAGTGGCTAGGACTAGGAAAGAAGTAGGAACAGCGCATTAAAGCAGATGCTCGTTCTGCGCCTGTCTTTCCCATTATCGCTAAGGCTCTTTCCTCCGTTCACCCTGTACCGTAGCCCTAGCCCAGCAGGATTCCAGATAAACCGAAGCCTCGAGACCCTAGACCTTGTCCCCTCCAAGCTGCAACCTCTTAAACCCAAAAACCGCAAGTTCAAAGCTGGTTGCGACTTGGGAGAGCTTTCAACTCCAGCTTTCTGGAAGGAGGCGTCTCGCCGAAAACTCTGGGATGAACTCGTGCTGCTTGGCCGAAGTCTGCCCAACGAGCTTCTACTTTGCGGTTAGGGTTTAGAGTTTAGGATTTAGGGTTCCCGCTAGCGTGGCTTTCGACTAGATTGACTAAACTGGAGTAGAACAGGCTAGAGCAGTTCATACTATCTGTTAACGCACATTATGCCGTATTATATTTCTTCGTAACAGGTCATAAGATGATTAGGCGTTAGATTTCAAGACGTTGTATGGAAGTAGTTTGGGAGTTTTTGTTTTGGAGCGTGGGAACATGATGCAAGTGAGCTCACAGGATTATGATGGCCCTGCATGCTTTCTCGCGCCCAGTTGACATTTCGCAAACTGACTCCTGAGACATGTCTTCAAAGTCTGGCTGGCCTGCGATGCACGTGTTTCGGAGAGAGCGATGATGCGAAAAAACGGATCCCGTCGGATGGGTTTTGGTTTCTTGCATGACATGCGCAGCTAAGGAAGCTTACAGATGCCAAGTATCCATGAGTTCCCGTCATTTGGATTGAGGAAATGTGGTGAAGATGGCGGACGCGCGACACGTCCTTGGATATTCCCCCATGGCGGTGCCAACAATCAGGGTCCGTTACTGGGCAAGTCCGATGTCTAGATGCGGCTTCTCGCGCATCGGAAAATGCAGCCGAACATGCTCATCCTGACTTAAATCCCACAAACCCATTTAATACTGCAGATCATGGAGCCTTGGAGGCCGCCTCTAGATTTGTTCCTCGTGGTTCGAACCCGGGAAAGGCTTCCAGAGCCCTGTCATATCTCATGTGCCAGCTCGGCCCTCTGAGCTTGTGGCCCTAAATCCGAAATCCTGCTCGTGAACCCTTCAAAACTAATAGTAGACCACACAAATATTGTCAATCCCTGCAGGTTCCATTGCTCCGTACAACTGTACCTGTTAAGGCATTATAATCCTTTAACCCTGTGTTTGAGCCTTTTTGCCTTATCCCTAACTCCAACACCGAGATGCAGGCACGACTGTTCCAGCACGAGTACGACCATCTTGATGGAGTTGTGACGGACTAAGTTCAGCGCGGGAAAATAGAGTTATGGGTCGTTGTTTAGGGGCGCTACGATCCCTCTCCGCCTGTGACGACAAGGTGTTCACCGATCGCTTCGGGGGAGCAGCTCGCGAGAAGGCCTGGCCAACAGCTGTTGTGTAGTGGGTAGTGCGCCAGTAGTACTTTCGCAACTGTTTTAGTTGAATGTCTACGTTGGCATTGGGTTATGTTTTGACACACATGTGGTACATATCCATCCGTCCAGACATACCTACCATACCATGCCATGACATCCCATACACGCTTATTACCTACATACATACACCCATGCATGCATGCATGGTTGGATGGATGGATGGATGGACGGACGGACGGATGGACGGACGCACGGATGGACGGACGGATGGATGGATGTGTGCATGGGCGGGCGTGCGTGTGTGTGTGTGTGTGTGTCAGTGTGTGTGTGTGTGTGTGTGTGTCAGTGTGTGTGTGTGTGTGTGTCACAGTGTGTGTGTGTGTGTGTGCGTGTGTGTGTGTGTGGCGCGTGGTGTGTGTGTGTGTGTGTGCATGTGTGTGTGTGTGTGCGGGTGTGTGTGTGTGTGTGTGTGTCTGTCTGTTTGTGTGTGTGTGTGGCGCGTGGTGTGTGTGTGTGTGTGTGTGTGCATGTGTGTGCAGGTGCGTGCAGGTGTGTGCAGGTGTGTGCAGGTGTGTGTGTGTGTGTGTGTGTGTCTGTCTGTGTGTGTGTGTGGCGCGTCTGTGTCTGTGTGTGTGTGTCTGTGTAAGTGGCGCGTTTGTGTCTGTGTGTGTGTGTGTGTGTCTATGTGTGTTTGTGTGTGTCTCTGTGTGTCTCTGTGTGTCTCTTTGTGTCTCTGTGTGTCTCTGTGTGTCTCTTCGTGTGTCTGTGTGTCTCTGCGTGTGTCCGTGTGTCTCTGCGTGTGTCTGTGTTTCTCTGCGTGTGTCTCTGTGTGTCTGCGTGTGTCTCTGTGTGTCTCTGTCTCTGTGTGTGTGTGTGTGTCTGTGTGCATGTCTGTCTGTGTGTGTGTGTGTGTCTGTGTGTGTGTGTTTCTGTGTGTCTGTGTGTGTGTGTGTCTGTGTGTGTCAGTGTGTGTGTGTGTGCGTGTGTCTGTGCGTGTGTCTGTGTGTGTGTCTCTGTCTCTCTTTGTGTGTGTCTCTGTGTGTCTGTGTG